AAGATGAGATTACCAGGCTGTCTCCTAGGCCCCACCTGCCTCTCACGCCTCAGCCGGGAGCCCTGAGTGCACAGGTGAGCTAGGCGGCCTTCTCCAGACTTCGTGGCTACATGGCTGCAGCTGGGTCCTCTTCCACGTACATCTTCCTCTAGGGATTTTGAAAGAAGCAGGAGGATAAAAAGAGAGAGAGAGAAAGAAAGAAATTCCTTTGAAGCAATCGTTAGTTTTCTTGAAATTTGTTGATTTTCCGTAGAAATTTGAGAGTTTAGAGTTGCAACCTAAGAAAGTTCACTTCCGTGCAGTAATCTGGCACAAATGCTCCCTTCAGGGAGACTGGATGGCATTCAGAGTGGAGAAGAAGAGAATGAAGGGAGAAAATGTCTGTTCTTGACGGGGAACTCTCTGGCCTGCAGGGCTTGGGAGAAGCAAACACTTTCACAGAAGGAGCCACAGCTTCTCTCGGCATTGTCTGGAGGTGCACAGAACACGGACACATAGTCCTTCAGCTCTTGGGCCCGCAGCAAGTCTCTCAACCCAGCTAAGTGTCTTGCTGAAGGTTGCACAGCTGGTGGTAGCAGGTGGAACTGGAGACAGGGATTTGCATAGCCACACAGGTGACAGGGTGGAGGGGTGACTGATCTGCGGAACCCCAAGAAAACCTGGGGGTTTGTACCTTAGTATTGTGTTGCTGTTAATCCGCCCCTACTAAAGGGTTTTGATGTTACATCCACAGCCATAAGCTCGTTTAAAAACTGCTCTGCCCCTGCCTCCACGTAGAAGAGCTACCGACCCCAGGAGCCTGTGAGAAACTCTGTCCCAGGGTCTCTGTGTTCCACTGCTTTGCTCGGCTAGGTTAAGCCTACAGGCACATCTTAAATCCCTGCCATTTTCACCCCTCAGAAAGTTACTCTAAATTAGGAACCTTGGTGATTTCTCCTAAATGACTTGAGATTTCTGTGGGTTAAAAATGAGGAAGTCTGAGTGCAGCAACTTGTAGGAAATGCACACAGCTGGACCAGCCACAAGTGGGGGCCTCCGGGGGTGGAGAGAATCCTGGCCAGGTCCCTGGCTCTCTGGCCACACCCCAACCCTGGCCAGGTTTGCTCAGTGGGCTTCCACTTGTCCTGAACGTACCTGAGCTTCAAGCATGCAGGCGAGAAAGGGTTGCTGGCCTTGCAGGGGTCAGAGGGTGGAGGCCAAGGGTACCACACAGCCTTGGGGAAGCCCTTCCTCTGGTGCAGAAGGACCAGGCCGTGTGGGTTCGAGGGCAAGAGATGCTTCTTTGGGCTCTCTGCTCCCTATTCCATCCTGGAAGGGACTCGGGCCCGGGAGGGTCATGTGGAGACAGGGATGAACCAGCCAATGGCTAGGTGCTTCTCAAGACAGTCGACCATGTGCATGCAGTTCGGTGTGAGCAGACAGTGACATGACCTGCACCTCCAGCCAGGTGCAAGGGATAAAGAGCAACGTGACATTTGCACCACCCTGTCATGGGCTGCTGCTGGCCTCCAGAGCAAATAATGTGGCCTCAGCCTTGGACTCGTCCCTCTGCCTGGCCATGCTTGGTAACAGCAGAGCTGAGGGCCTCCAGCAGGGTGGGGACCTGCGACTCAGTCCCCCCTCTTCCTCCTCCTCCTCTTCCTCTCTGTGCCCCCCCAGAGATGGTGAAACTGTCTTTGGAGTATAAGGAAACCTCCTTGACCTTTAATTTTTTCCAGTTATTTCACACTCCATTAAAATATACGAGGAGTTCTCAGAAGCACTGTGTGAGTGCCACTGCACTGTCCCCAGGTCACAGGTGCAGAGTGAGGCTGAGAGCAGGGGAACAGGTTAGGAGAGTGCAAGCAAGACGCTGCAAACTGTAACTTGGGTGTTTGTGATTTCACACCTGTGCTCCTACAAGGACAGGAGTGGGGGAGAGGAGTTAGAGAAAAGGGGGAAGGAGAGAGGGGAGGGGAAAGAAGAGAGGGAGAGAGGGAAGCAAGAAGGGAGAAGAAAAGTGACTTAGGAGATGAGATGAGATGAGCTGAGCATGCAGTTGCTACATCTCTGGAGCTGACTGATCTGAGCGCCCAAAGGTCCGCTGAGCGGCGGGGTCCGCTGTGCCCTGCATCGCCACAAAAGGTCCGCCTCTTGGGTCCCGCTCTCTGGCACCCCCAGGAGCCCACCCAGGACCCTGCGATGCAGCCCTGGCTTTCTGTGGCCCAGGGTCCGCGCTTGACAGTTCACTGTGCGATCCTCTACCCGGGATGAGTCGCTGAGCCCACCCGCAGCCAGCCGTGGTTCCGGACCAGCGGCTGCCTGGCGAAGCAGGCTACCGGATGCCTGGGGGCGCGCAGTGACCAGAGCGGGTCCCCTGGCGCCGTCCGCAGGAGGGTGTGCTCCTTCGCACACAGTTGCCCACGTGAATACACTCCAGGATGCAAGAGACGAAGGAGTGAAGGAGCAGAGCGAGCCAACCAGCCTGGGCGGGGGCCGGGGCGGCTCCAGCG